GATCGACCGGAAGCGCTTTCGAATCTCCATAGAACGCATAGTAGTCTCAAAATTTCGCTTCGACGCGTTCCAGAAGCTGCAATTCCGAGTCGAGTGGCTCGGAACCAATTTGAACCTTTCCAACTGACCCGGTGGTCCATTGATCGGGGCCGAGGAGCGCGGCCTATGCGTGCTAGGTCTGCTATTGCTGGGTAGGTATTACTGGCGCAAGGATGGGAGGGGCCGGCTCGACGGGCGACAGGGAAGCCCTTGTCGACCGAGCGTCCGTAGTTGAGCTAGGTTTCTGGTCGGGGTGTTTCAAGTTCGTACGACGACCTTGGCTCCAGCGAGGCGCTCATGGCGCCGCCTCCTGGCCACCAGGTTGGCTCAAGAGGGATTGACGGTCCTTGGCATCGCATTCGCTTGTCCTTGTCCGAAGCCAGGGCGCGGAAGATCTTCAGCGACGGGAAGAAGCAAATGGTATTCGTACAGTTCAAGGTTCCTCTGTAGTAGGACGGTCAAGGCCTCAACTCAGAGGTCGACGTTCAAAGGGAGAGAGAGATGTCCGCAGCGTCAACTTTGAGGAAAGATCTGCAAGGCTGAACGCTGTATTCGGATCACTGCGCATCTGCTGGTTTGTTGTCGTTTCTTCAGACCCAGATCATCCCATGAGTAAGCTGACATTACCTGTCCTCTCATTATTGAACAATCCAATGTTTGAGAAGCAAGGAGGACTTGAGTTTCGAGAGAGTGAACCCCCAGCGGGCCCGAGCGCAAGAGGATAACTACACCCCTTCGCTGTAACGTCAAAGTAAATCTGAAGCATCTGAGCCGCCAGCGTCGCAAATGGATGGCCCTCCAGAGACTGTTGCTGCCGCCTGCGCAGTTGCCGGCCATAATTGGCCAACTCTTTTTGTTTTTGCAACTTTTCTCAGTCGCATTCGGTGGACAGTTCAGATGCAGATGTTCTTTTCGTGCCCATGGAACACATGGAGGTAAAAGGTCCTAGTCTTCCAATGTGTCGCAACCATACTAGCAGGGTCAAGAGATAGGCTTGAGGAACGTGGGACCATCAATAGGGCCGCTCCCTTACAGGTAGGGAGGCGTGTTCAATTCGGCAGCGACAGGTACCTACTTGCCTAGACTTAGCGCTCGACTCGGGCACAAGCACGTTTTTTCTTTTCTTGTTCAATTGAAGAGACATCAGTTGTACTGTGGAAAACATGGTGCTGGCTGCCGCTGGTGATACAATTCTCTAAAGCGCAACCTGTTAGGTTCAACCGACAGATTGACAGAGCAAGAAGAAATACCAAAGAGCATCGTAGGTAGTTTAGCGGGTTCTCTTGCTGGCAAGTCAACCATGTCCCGTGCGCTGTCGTAACGACCTGCCTAGTCCCCGTCCGCGAACGTGAACGAGTTGTTGTGTCCATATTCGTAGTGCTGTTGTGTCATTGGGTTCACCAATGATCAGAGAGAGGGCCAGAAGTCGTCTCTTTTCCAATCGAAAAAGCAGTTATCTAGAGGCCAGAGCGCCGTCGCATGCGCATGGCTGCGGTGGAACCTGGGCGGGATTATGGGTCGATAGTTGCAAAGAACGTTGAATATGCGAAATTGGCTGTTCCTGCGAGACCTTGGAAGACAACATCCCAGACAATAGTGCCGACTCTCAGAGTTCATAGATGGGAGGGCGGCTGTGGCTGCCCCCCGAGACCGGGGAAAGACGCAACAAAGTCCTTTTTCAGCTTACACGCCAGACTGCCCATTGCGCCATTGCGCTGTCCCCATCGCAGGTTGAGTGAGGTGTGGGAACTTGAAAGAGCAGAGTCGCAACTTTGGCATAAGTTAACCGATCGACGTCACAAATACCCACTACGGTGCCTCTCAAGTGCAGACGAGGTGGGCACTAGTTGGTGGCATGTACTTCGTAAGCGCCACTAACTCGGACCCTGCAGGCCACCCCGGAGGGCAGAGAGATGTGGTTTATTGTTTGCGGCGACTCCAAAGAATGTGAGACGTGCTCTTGACTCTCTCTGTCAGCTGGTCTTGGTTAGCCCATAAAAGACAATAGACCCGAACGTCGGTCATGCGTAGGTATGTACGGGCAATAATGGTATTTGGAAGTCGGGGAAGTAGTGACAGCGTTTAAATGCCCGATCGCGACCAGCGTTGGAGTATGCAATTGTTGGCTTCGTTACGATCGCAGTCGAACTCTTCCGTGGCGATAACGGGCTGACAGAATCGGCAAGCCAACCGCCAAGACTTACGAGAGAAAGTTGTTAGTTGCCGAGACTGCCCACACCGTCGTCTTCTCCTCGTTTGTAGAGCAGTTTCATAGCCCGTTGGAGGCTATCATTCCAAAGCCGGAGGTAAGAAGAGTGATGACGGGAATGCCCCAAATGTTGATATGCCATTCAAGACGAGCGGCCGATGCTGATATTCCTCGGGGGGGAAGCGAGTGTGCGTGTGTGTACATGTGTACACGGAGTAGCTGGCAGTGGTTCGCCGGTGGTTCAAAGTGTGGTGTGTGTGTGTCCGTAGCTTACTAGTAGTACATGGACAAGGTGTGCCGGGGTGGTGTGCCTTAGACGATGTGCGCTTTGGGTAGATTACCAGGCCGGCTCTCCAGTGTCAAGTGTCAGAGCTGTGAAGGAGGGTTGGTGTCAGTTGAGAGAAGGACAAGACGGAACGAAACAACGCTAGAGAAAGACCCAGAATAAAAATCTGTTTTGTTTGGGAATCATGAGCCTGAGCCTGAGCCTGAGCCTGAGCCTGTGTTGGTGTCTGAAGAGAAAGAAATCCATATTGACGGAGGTTGTGTTGGTGCAAGGCAGGAGGCGGTGTGAGAATGAGTAGGCATTGTCTTTGTGTATATGATTCAACATGAGACGACGTTTCCCTCCCTTCTCGTCTAGAGGCTTGCTTGATTACCTCCATGTCGGGTCGAAGAAGTGTTGTTGGAGTTACCTGTCTTGTACGAAACGATGAGAGCTCTTTGTACCCTGGTCCGGTGTAAAGTAAGGTAGAGTACGTAGCGAGGCGAGGGACTCTGTAAGGTTCTGTGTACGTAGTAAGGTACTCTGAGGATAGGCTGCGCCAAGATCAGTCAACTTCAATGCGCCTTCCATCCATTCTTCGCGGCCCCTTCTTCTCTCCCTCTTCCGTCCATAGTGTGTGCGCGTGTTTCTCTCGCTCTCTCGCGGTTGGCATGTCGGGTCCATAATGTGCCACCTACCAAATCAACCTAGATGGTAGTAACCCGTCACTCAGGACCGTATACAGAGTAGGCTGTAACTTTGGGTTTACCATGTTGGACCCAAGTGGTGAAAGAAGACAAAGAAAGACGAATGCACAGTGACCTGGGTGGCACTGGCACTTGCACTTGCACTTGTCCCGCGGTCAGGTCTGCTTCTTCCCTCCCAAAATGCTCTCTACAACCGGGGAAGGCGCTGTACCTCGTACCTGCGTACCTACCTTTTTTACCCACATCGTCTCGAGCCCAGGCCTTCTTCGGCGCACATCCTCCTAGCGCGGTCCCGTCGTGCCCCCCTTGCCCTTCCCGTCCCGTCCTCTTTGCATCCTCCCTCCTTTCCTCCCCCCGAAAACCAGGGCCACCCACCGCCTCCGCCTTCGCCTTCGCCTTCACCTTCGCCTCTGAGGTGCGTTACCGTCACATTGCTTCCAGCTTGGTTTATTACCTGCCCAAAGCCAGGTACGGAATAGGTACCGTGCCTTTTCAACTTGGCTCTGCGTCTTGAGCCTTGACTCTCTCTCTGTCTCTCTCTCTCTCTCTCTCTCGATCTCTCCTTCCGATTTCACCACCTTTGCCTTCCAGTTCTTGGTCTTGCTCGTCACGGTCCCCAAGTTCCAGCTTCTTTCATCCATTTGCTTCCTCTTCTCTTCCCTGTCCGGAACACACACCCATCCCTCCCACACACACCCACCCGGACACACACACACACTCTCTCTCTCTCTCTCTCTCTCTTTTGCAGAGGCGTACCGAGTACATAGACGTGCTCAGAGTCAGTTTGTCTTACCTCAAAGTGCCTGGGCCTATCTCGTCCCTCTCTCCTCCTTCACTCCCTCTTCCCCAAGATCCCCAATCCCGGCCTACAAACACTCTGCAGCTGGATTTCTCCTCTCCAATCCAATCCAATCCCATCCCTTCTCCTCTCTTTCTTCCCCCCTCCTACCCATCTTTACCATCGCTCCCTACAACGACAACCACAAGAAAAAGGCGAGACACATTACATTGCAGGGAGGTGCAAAAGGCATTTGGGCGTCAATCAAGCGAAATCCTCCGATACCACCGAATAATCCACTTTCTATTGAATCGCCCTGGAGCATTCCACTACAAGGCCCAAGACGACCCACGCTTTCCGCTTGACACCTCCGATTGTTAAGCTTCCCGTCTCCCGCTGGCCCCATACACATACAGCACGTACGCTATTCACTACCGCTGCGGCACTGCCAAACAGAACCTCTCATCGCTCCAAGTCGACTTCCGATCCAGGAATCAACCAACCTCAACTTTTCCCACCCGACGCCGCCACTCCCCCATGGGAGACATCTCGCCGCCTTACCCTAACGCATTCGCACGCATAATTCAATATCGTCGCCGAACCGAGTCATTGCCGTCATCCGAGTCGCTCGATCCCGTGAGACTTGCGCATTGATTTCCAACGTGCAAACGATTTGCCATCACCCCCCTCGTGCCATCGTACAGCCCTCGCCTCGACAGATTCGGCAGACATCGCGTCGACTTCACACTGACCAGCACTTTTTTCTTCTCTTCTTTTTCACTTGAGTTAGTTGCGCCAACTTGGACATTATCGAGAGTCCATCCTTGATTTTCGATTATAAATGAACACTCGGTAACGACTCTGCGTACTACGAAACGGCCTCCGAATTCACCTACGTTCGACGACCGCATTACGGGAACTCCTGCCAGCGAACTCTTATTCGCCCACGAATACTCAGTCGACGATAATTCCAAGTACGATTGCTTCATATCACAAGTCATCATGGCTGGCTACAACAATAGACCACTAAGTTTCTCCGAGAGAAGAGGGAGCATGCTCAGCGACGACATGACGCTCAATACCGGATCCAGTTCCAGCAGCACAAGACTCGAGAAGATGCCTCAACGGCCGGGACATATTAGAGGGCCGCCTACACCCAGCATGACTACTCCTGCCGCAGACTTCGACCAGCAGTTGACGGGCTCGCCACCTCCCCCGCCCACACCAGCTGCCTCGCCAGGCCCCTCACATCATCAACTCGACTGGAGCGATGCCGCCGATGACGAAGACTTCTTTCTCGCCAAAGTGCGTCATCACTTCAAGAACTCTGGTGGTCCTCACCGCACTCGCCTCCTGGCCGATCTTCTGAACATGTGCACAAGTCAACAGCTGAGCTTCGTTCACCAGTTCGTCAGCCCCCTTCTCAAGAAGGATCCATTCACGAGCCTTCCTGATGAGCTGTGTTTACGCGTAAGAAAGTCTCAAATTCCCAAATCGGTTCGCTTGGCTGACTTGATCTACTCAAGATTCTTTCCTTCATAGATGACCCCAAGGTCTTGGCTCGTGCCTCGCAAGTGTCCCGGAGATGGAGAGACTTGCTGAGTGATGACATGACGTGGAAGAACCTTTGTGTCAAGCACGACTACGGCAGACGCCTGTCGGAAGTCGCTTCATCGATGGGCAGTGGATCTCGACCTGGTGCCCAGCCTCTATGGGGAGACGACTACGCCAGCAGCAGTTTCCCAGGTGCGCTGCCTATGACGGCTCACGCCTCTGGTTCCCGTAGTCTTGATGGATCCGGCAATTCAAGACCCAAGATGAGGTCTTATAAATCGCACTTCAAGCAGCGATATCTCGTCGAAGCCGCCTGGAGATCTGGCGGCACTAGCACCACAAGGAATATCACTCAGGAGGGTGGTGTAGTTACGAGCTTGCACTTGACGCCCAAGTACATTATCGTGGCCCTTGATAATGCCAAGATCCACGTCTTTGATACCAAAGGCAATCAGCAACGCACTTTGCAGGGCCATGTCATGGGTGTTTGGGCGATGGTTCCTTGGGACGATATCCTCGTCAGCGGTGGGTGCGATCGTGACGTGCGAGTATGGAACTTGGCTACAGGGTACGTTGATTTCAAACGGTACAGCAGCGTAGATATGCTAACTTTGCCAGTGCTTGCCTTCACACTCTACGTGGACATACATCAACGGTTCGGTGTTTGAAGATGTCTGATGCAAACACGGCGATTTCGGGCTCGCGCGATACGACGCTTCGAGTATGGGATATTCGCACCGGTTTATGCAGAAACGTTCTTGTTGGCCACGGCGCCAGTGTTCGATGCCTCGAGATCAAGGGAGACATTGTCGTATCAGGCAGCTATGACACCATGGCGAAGGTCTGGAGTATCTCCGAGGGCAGGTGCATTCAGACGCTTCAGGGTCACTTCAGTCAGATCTACGCCATTGCCTTTGACGGCAAGAGAGTTGTCACTGGCAGTCTCGACACCAACGTCCGCATCTGGGACCCCAGAACAGCGTAAGAGCACTATGTCACAAGTCTTTGTTCTGTTTTGGCATGCTAATCAATTGCAGTGAATGCCTAGCTATTTTGCAGGGTCACACCTCCCTCGTGGGACAGTTGCAGATGCGTGGAGACACCCTTGTTACAGGCGGCTCAGATGGCTCGGTGCGAGTTTGGTCACTGGAGAAGATGTGCCCCATTCATCGACTTGCTGCTCACGATAACAGCGTGACCAGCCTGCAGTTCGATGATACGAGGGTCGTCAGTGGTGGAAGTGACGGCCGGGTTAAGATCTGGGATCTGAAAACAGGTCACTTGGTCAGAGAGCTTATTGCTCAAGGAGAGGCTGTTTGGAGGGTGGCTTTCGAGGACGAGAAGTGTGTCGCTCTCGCTTTGCGACAAAACCGTACCGTCATGGAGGTAAGCCATCATTCTTTCAGAAAATTGGGTTGTTCTCGTTGCTAACCAAGACTCCTAAGGTATGGTCTTTCTCTCCTCCGGAGGATGTTCTCTACGATCGTCCACTCTCTCTTCAACAGCGAGTCCTTCAAGAGGCGCCTAACCGACCCTTGAGCGCCATGCAGCTCGATTACAGACAAACCCAGCCCACTGTCGCTGGGTCCAGTCGAGAAGCTGCCGGAAGTCAAGATATTGACATGAGAGACGCGGGTCCTTCTACAGCCCCGCTTCAGGGCGGCAACAAGACTTTCTTCCATGACGACTAGACGTGGTCGGCCATACATTGAAACCTCCCGCTTGGCGAGTTAAATGGGTCTGAAAGGCGATACGGGTTCGGCCGCAGGTGCACTGAACACTTGCGTTACCAAGGCATTAATGAGGCGTTGCGGTTTATTTAGTGATTGACGAGGTCACACACGTCATGAAACGGCCATCTTTCACAAGCTCCCCAGCCTAGATTGGGGTGGCTCGCGAGACAAAGGCGTCGTCTTTTTTGGAGTTGGTCAGGAAGCATCATGGGCATTTCAAAGGATGGCCAGCATGGGTTTGACAGCATTGGGGATTCAATTTCAGTGGTATACTTGGCAACAATCGAAGGATTAAGACTTCAGGATGCGAGCTCAAGCAAGTTTGAGCATGCGGTTAGCCAAGCCAGACCTTTAATATACCCCGAGGTAGCGTACTGTAGAGTTATATACCACTTCAGAACAAGTGCGATGGACTTGAGGCTTGAGGCTCAAGGCTCGGAGTTCCGGTTGGATCTGTGATGAGTAAGATACCTAATCTGACGTACTTTTTCCTTGTGCCTACATGGACAAAGTACCAAGTAGTTTCCATTGTAGTCTTTGAAATTGTTCTTTGCAATCACGAGACATACATGGCATATGAAAAGGAGGGGGAAATGGCCTCGTTGAATTTGATGACCTGTGGCATCAATCATTCAAGTTCAATGGCATTCCCGGGGACTACGGTACCTCCGATCGGATGCCATATTTTGTTCTAATCAGCTCTTATCAAGGTAACTTATTACGGATAGAGTAAGGTAGGGGTTTGGGTTTTCGCGGCGATTGGACCCAGTGCTGGGCTCTGTTTCCCTGCTATCTCCGAAGGCCGCTCTCGCTGTCCACTGAATGCGAACTCGGTGGGAACCGTGCGAGAATATGACCGACCGTTGGAAGCCGGGCCCGCCAAAGTCACAGCGCGCTCGAAGTTCACACCTCGCAAATCCCGTTGAGGCAGGGTCACGTGAAAGTAAGCTAGCCTCATACGGACTAGTAGTTTTCAACAAGCAGCAGCTCCCTTCCCAACCAACGCCGCGATTTTTCGGAGCTCCAGCGATCAAATAATTTGTTATCACCCTCCTTCCCCCGAACCCTTCTCATCCTCATCGTCCGGAGGCTCCATCATCACCACCCCCACGATGTTCTCCCGCGCGATCAGGTTAAACAGAGCAGTGCCTCTGCGCACTCGCGCCCCGGCCACTTTTGCTGCTGCATCCCGGTCCGTCACCACCAACGCCGCATCCGCAACTTTGGAGAAGGGAGTTCCCCAGGTCAGTTTGCGCTCTTTTCCCGTCGCCACATTCGTCGGACATGCTGCGACAACAAAACGGCCCTGGACATGGAGGCATGCTCAATTGCATCCTGCTAACCCATTACGCCATTCTAGTCCGACGATGAGCCTTTCCAGATCACCCTGAGCGATGAGAGCTTCGAGACCTACCAGCTCGACCCCCCGCCGTACACCCTCGATGTCACGAAGAAGGAACTGAAGCAGATGTACAAGGATATGGTTGTTGTCAGGTACGGACAAATATGTCTCTCTGCACGAAATGTATTTGTTTTAGCTTTGTTACTCACCGTCTGCGCAGACAACTCGAGATGGCCGCCGATCGCTTGTACAAGGAGAAGAAGATTCGTGGTTTCTGCCATTTGTCCACCGGTCAGGAGGCTGTTGCTGTCGGCATTGAGCACGCTCTTACCCGTGAGGATGACTTGATCACTGCTTACCGTTGCCACGGCTTCGCCTACATGCGTGGAGGTACCGTTCGTTCCATCATTGGTGAGCTGTTGGGCCGCCGCGAGGGTATTGCGTACGGCAAGGGAGGTTCCATGCACATGTTCACCAAGGGCTTCTACGGTGGCAACGGTATTGTCGGTGCACAGGTGCCCGTCGGTGCTGGTCTGGCTTTCGCTCACCAGTACACTGGTCGCAAGAACGCCTCTGTTATCCTGTACGGTGACGGTGCCAGCAACCAGGGCCAGGTCTTCGAGGCTTTCAACATGGCCAAGCTCTGGAACTTGCCCGCCCTGTTCGGCTGCGAGAGTGAGTTCTGAGCGCTACGAAAAGGTTATCGCGTCGGTCATGCTAACGAGCTCCCTCAGACAACAAGTACGGTATGGGTACCGCTGCTGCTCGTTCCTCAGCTCTCACAGATTACTACAAGCGCGGGCAGTACATTCCTGGTCTCAAGGTCAACGGCATGGACGTCCTCGCCGTTAAGGCCGCCGTCAAGTACGGAAAGGACTACACTGTTGCTGAGAACGGACCCCTCGTCCTCGAGTACGTTACCTACCGGTACGGTGGTCACTCCATGTCCGACCCTGGTACCACCTACCGTACCCGTGAGGAGATCCAGCGCATGCGTTCCACCAACGACCCCATCGCCGGTCTCAAGCAGAAGATCATGGACTGGGAGGTTGTCACTGAAGACGAGCTCAAGACCATTGACAAGGAGGCCCGCAGCTTCGTCAACGAGGAGGTTGCCGCTGCTGAGGCCATGGCCGTCCCCGACACCACCCCCAAGATTCTCTACGAGGACATCTACGTCCCTGGTACCGAGCCCCAGTTCATCCGTGGCCGCACCCCTGATGAGACTTACTACTTCAACTAAATTCCTGCGCGTGATGAATAATTGTTTCCTAACCTTTCTGTCCTATTGTACAATACCTACTAGCTAGAGAGGGTGAAGTGGTCACAATCTGAACATGGCCAGGGTCTGCAGATATCCTCCTGGTTCGACACAATCTTAGTTCCTCTTTTGTGACATTTGGCGCACTGTGAAATGGCATGCATGCATGCTACCTAACCTTGCTCATGCCTGATGAAAATTGAAAAGCGTCTCTCGGCATGGCGCACTTACGATAGACCGACAACGGGCAGTCTTCTTCCAGTGCGTTAAGCCCAATCGGGGTGGCTCAGAAAACTTGCCCGAAGCGGCGCAGCAGTGGTCCAGGTCGCTGCCTGCCCACGCTGCCTGGAAAGTTTCTGTGGGCCCGTGCAGCTACGGGTCCTTTTCGCGTCACCAGGCAGGAGCTCTTAACGCGATTCTTCTGCTCCAAGCGCGTCGAGGTTCGCCAGGGTCCTCCTACCACCTTCATGTCTGCTCTTCCCCGCCTTCTGAGCAGCTCAATCGGTCAAAGAAACGCATTTCGGGCAGCGTTTCATACCAATTCTCGACTCTTCACTACCTACACTCGACCAGACATCACCATGGCGCCAAAACAGGCGACGCTGGGGTACGTCAAGCCATCTCAGACAACGTTGGGGTGTGTGAAAGGACAATGCTGCTAGGACTACCGCAGATGCAACCGAATTGTCCAATTCCAGCTATCGTGTGGTTTGCAAGAATGTCTGCTGACAGAGCTATACAGAAAGTTCTTCGGAGCGAAAGGATCCAAGCCTGAGCCACAGCAGAGCAAGCTGAGCTTCGCCACCAAGGCAGCCCCGAAGAAGGAGGTTAAGAAGGAGATCAAAAACGAGGACGATGCAGACAAAGACGCCGTCAAGACACAGAAATCTCCCAGTAGTATGACGTGGCTTCATTCCTTGGACGTCTCCTGTTTCGATTGACTAACGAGTCAATTACAGAGCCACGGAAACGTACCAGAAGCCCGAGCCCCGCCGTACAAGCATCGAGCCCGAAGGTCAAGAATGAGATTGTCGAAGAGGATGAGGACGATGAGCCTGCCACAAAGAGACCGCGAAGAGGCCGCAAACAAGTCATTGAGGACGAGGACGAGGACGAAGTGATGGACGAAGCCCCTAGCAAGTCCCAACCAAAATCACCAAAGACCTCCCAGGCCAAAAAGAACGGCACAGAGAAGTCTGCCAAGGCTGCAAACGCATCCAAGACTGCTCAACCGAAGAAAGCGGCCAAGTCTCCCACGCCTGTCGTTGAGGACGATAAGGAGGATGCAACGGAGTCCGCATCAGAAGACGACGTAGTTGAAGACGACGAAGAGGAGGCCAAGCCTACGGCAGCGAAGAAGAAGGCCTTGGAAAAGGTGCAGATGAAACTGAAGACTCAAACAAAGGACCCGTATCCCGACTGGAAGGCGGGCGAACCAGTTCCCTATGCTGCGCTCTGTACGACCTTCTCCCTAATCGAGCTCACGACCAAGCGGCTCGAGATTATGGCACACTGTTCTCTGTTCCTCCGACAGGTTCTGCGTCTGACCCCCAACGATCTTCTTCCTACTGTTCTGCTCATGATCAACAAGCTAGCTCCTGACTATGCCGGCATTGAGCTGGGCATTGGTGAGTCACTCATCATGAAGTCCATTGGTGAATCTACGGGACGAAGTCTCGCGGTCATCAAGCAGGACCAGAAGGAGATTGGAGATCTCGGTCTTGTTGCCGTCAAGAGTAGATCGACTCAGCCAACCATGTTCAAGCCCAAAGCTTTGACAATACGAGGAGTACACAAGGGTCTCATGGGCATCGCCACTGTTTCTGGCAATGGTGCCCAGGGCCGTAAGGTGGACGCCATCAAGAAGTTGCTCTCAGCAGCCGATTCTCATTCCTCTGGAAAGGTAGATATCACGAAGGACAAAGGCGGACCCAGCGAAGCCAAGTATCTTGTCCGATTCCTCGAGGGTAAACTTCGATTGGGACTGGCAGAGAGGTCTGTTCTTGTGTCTTTGGCACAAGCTGTGGTCTTCCACGAGGCCGACGCCAAAGGTCAGGTACCAAAGACGACAGACGTGGAACAGGCCGAGGCCGTTCTTAAGACAGTCTACAGGTTTGTGGCTCGGTCTCACAATTACCATTTCCTTGTACTAATCATTTATAGTGAACTTCCAAGCTACGATGTCATCATCCCCGCCATGGTAGAACACGGCATCATGAACTTGCGCGAGCATTGTAAGCTAAAGCCCGGCGTACCCCTGAAGCCGATGTTGGCAAAACCAACGAAAGCTATCACTGAAGTTCTGGACCGCTTCGAGGACCAGACCTTCACCTGTGAATACAAGTACGATGGCGA